TAACTTAGCGCTTGTGTTTAGGTTGTGTTTTTGTCTGCCAGTCACAAAACAATAATCCACACTGACACCGAAGAAGATGGCAGATATTCACACTGTCACAAATTATTTCCAAGAGTCCTGGAAAAAGCTACGGCTATGGCTAATGAAAAACATGGGCAGGGACAGCTAAACACGACATACCGAAACTTACCAAAACTAAGGAAAACAGTCTGAGAGAGTACTGGAAGTGCATGCAGGGTTTAAAAAACAGTGATGCTTCCAAAGGAGACATTCTGAAACTTAGAAGAGAAAAAGAAAAACAGTGTGTCATAATACTGCTGTTATGCAAAACCTGCATCAGAGGTCAAAGCTGAGGACGAAAAGAGACTAACGGCACATACACGGAAACAACAGTCACTATTTACACACCCGGACAAAGAATTGCACGGCTATATAACTATTTATAGGAGGAGTAATAGTTTGGAAGCATTGCATCATTGCAACTAGAGCACAAAGACTCCAGGTGACGACCCAATAATGAAAAACTTTTACCTTCATATGACATCGTGCTTGTTGTTATGTTGGAATAACATACAAGTTAGAGTGACTAAATGTCAAGCAAGTGCAAACTGTGTCTTGACTACATGAACAAACATGTTTTGATGCATCTAGCAAGTAAAGTACAGGGTATTTTTGTGCATGTTCCATTACAATCTGTACTATTCCACCAAAAAAGTGGAAAAGAGAGGAAGAAACTGCCAGTAGAGTTTACATTAAGCCAACTCCTCAGAGTCCCATTTACAAAGAGCAGCTGTTCACTCATGGAGACTTTATATGTTCAGTTCTGACCTCTTGTGGATGCACAAAACACTACAAGAAAAATCAGATGTATGTTGTTATGAGAGAAATAAACCACAAGGTGGCAGGAGATGACAGCAACAACCAGGACTCAGCCATGAGACTGTCTAAATCGCTCTTGGATGAAGGTGAATTTAACAACAGTCTATGTGTTCTGTTTATCTTTAAAACAAACAAAAAGGTTTATAAGGTTAATGTTCCCAAGAAGCAGCCTGAATAGTTTAAATATGTAGCCAATACATGAGATACACCACTACTGGAAAGATTAATCGCTGCTTCGGCCTCGGCAGCAAAATCTGAGCAAAATCTCCTCATCTTCCATCTCCATTGTTATTAGTCCGAGCACTGACCACGCTGTTTATATAAACGGACAAAGCAGAAAGGCTCTCATATTCTAAGAAGTCAGGGATATGATCACGAGGATGTTTATTCAGCAGCACATTAGTCAATAGTAGGTGTTGAATTTTTTGTTCCCCCCCACAGCTGATTTGGTACATTGTGATTGCAGAAAATGGCAGATAAGCAGACGTGATTAGAGCCGGCTATCAAACCTCTGTACCTATTTTAGGCAGAGAAAAAAATATGTGCATAGCTGTGACTGTTCTTGTTTACTTATTATTGCAGATAGCAGTTCCTGATTTGAATTTTAGTTCTCACAGTTGTTATCATTTAAAAGTCTGACTCGCTTTGTTTATTTCAAATTTAAGAACAATGTGGGCATAATTCTTAAAGACATGTACATCATTTGTATGTATACACATTTTGCCTGTGTTCCTCTCTTGTGTTGCACAACTTTGACCTTTTGTTTCTCTTTTTGATTTTTGCTTTGTCCGCTTCAGTAGAATAAAACAGAAAAAAGACAGACAACATATTACAACCAAAAACCTCTAGATGTGATTCAAATTTCAAACTTACACATTGTGGAGCAACTAGCATTAAACAGGAGTACGTTTGTTTACAGGTTACATTTATACTCCCCTTAGATTAGGTTTCTAGAAACTCAATCTGGCTTTGGCCTGGTCGTGGAGATCCTTCAGATTTGGTGCATCTTCTAAACGACTGTCATTATGTTTGAGGGTGGTGATGTGGAGGACACTTGGACAGAGTGTCTTGTGTAGTTCAGAGTCTATGATTGTGCAAAGTGAAGGACTGAGCTGCTCCGACGTGCTCTAAGACAGCAGACGGACTTACAAAGTGCATTATCTTATTTGTCTGATCTTCCTGTTTGCATTCTGAGTATGTAGACTTAAGGAAGAAAGTGTCACCACGTTATTAGTCTATGAGATTTTACTGCACTGAGAATGTTCTTGTGTGCAGCATTTGTGTAAATACCCTCATGAGCACCATCTGTGCCAGGTACAGCCTGTTTGGAGGAGTCATTAACGCTGGCAGTGAGTGTGTTGTGGTGACATGGCTGCACAGTCACGGGGGTGATAACTGAGAGGGGTCAGGGCGACACACATGTTAAATCTTGCCATTGCGTGTGTCCCCCGCATTTGTTGTGTGTCTGTATACAACACTCTGAACTGGCTTTGATCTTATTCACTATGGTCTGACTGTCCTTAAATCTTCAATTTATTTTATATTAACATTAAAATAAGTGGCTATGAGTGTTAGACCTAAAAAACCCACTTTATAATAACCAACTGATAACGTTTTGATTAATCAAATAATGACTTACAGTTGACTGCTTTCATTCCAACGTTCAAAGATTAAAAGAATATTTAAAATGATGTGCAAAAGAGAAAAGCAACAAATTCTCATGTGACTCAAACAGTTTATCACTTATCAAAACTATTAATGATTACCTTCGCCTAGTCTGTGTGAGTCATTTCAACAAGTAATCTTGCAACTCTGAGATTGTTAGTGCTGAAGCATTCAGAAAAGAATACAAACCTTATCTCACCATTATGACTTGCTATCTCATAATTACAAGAAAAGGAAAAAGGCTGAGAAGGTTATCTTTCAGTCATCTATACTTGAGAGGCCCTGGGCTATGACGCTGTCTGATTCAAAATGAAGGACGGGAGTTTGAATAATCATACAGCTAAAGTGTTTTTGGTACATTTTGTATGGCAAATTACCCATCACCTGCTGTGCACCATGCATTGTGGTTGCATCTACCACTGAATAAGGCTGATACTGAAGAAAAAACAACAACAACAACAACAACAACAACAACAACAACAACAACAACAACGACAAAGGATTCGAAGTTCTGAATTCCTGCCCTTTAAGTATATTGGAAATTATCTAGTAATTGTGACAAAATACCTCTTAATCAGGATCTGATCTGGATTTTGACATACTTATTTTTTTGTATATATAATATAAATAAAAGCTAAAAATGTGGCTAGTTTACACCACACAATGTATTTCAATGTTCGCTTGAATGGGAATTCTTAAGAACTTGCCTGAGAATTTTCAGGTTTTTAGGATTCCTTTTGTACCAAAGTAATTCATTGATAGTTGTCAGGACATGTAAGAGTGCACAGCAAAAAAGGGGAATAAAAGGGGGCTAAAACGAGGCTCAATTTGCAGCACAGAGGAACTCAATGTATGCCTGTACAAGGATAGGAGTGGGAATGCTTCAGAACTTGCCTGGGAATCCTCGGGTTTTTAGCATTTCCTTATTATCAAAATAATTCACTGAAATTTGCCAGGACATGCAAAGGTATGGAGCAGAAAGAAATTGATAATAGTGAATTCGGCTTACTTTATTTTTAAAAAAGAAAAACCAATATAGGTTAAAAACGAGGCTCAGTTCGCAGCATACAGCGACTTTTTGTATTTTGATTTAGGGCAGCCGTGGGAAAGCTTCAGAACTTCCCTGAGAATCTTCAAGTTTTTAAGGTTTCTCCAATATCAAAGTAAATTATCGACAGTGGTCAGGACACGCCAGAGTACATAGCAAAGAGAAATTGTTATTCGTTAATTCGGCATACCAAATTACCGAAAATGTAAACAAATACGAGCAAATACGACCATTTTCTATTCATATGTTTACAGCAGTCAGTCAGCTATCAAACTTGGTTAGACAAGCTAGCTGGTAAAGAAAACAATTGCAGCAGATGAAAACCGGTATAGTTTGCTGGTGGAGACTAAAGTAGAGATAATTAGACAGTTAATGTTGGACTTACTCAGTAAATTGACCAGAAACACCGGTCCAGTGGGGCAGTATGTTGCTCCATGTCTGCTGGATGTGTTGGGAACTGTTAGCTAGCACGTTAGCATGTTAGCTAAAATAGCTTTTTTTTTCTTCGTGTTTTAAATCGCTTCTTCCTACTAGTGACCTCAAATTTGTCAATGAAGCTTCTATATTTTATTTATATGGTGCTGTTTGAACTCACTGCAAGTAGTAAAGGTATATGTAGATAAATACCTGGCCTACAAATATACCTGTGATATCCATTTGGTGTTATTAATACACTTAAAACTGACTCATTTCAGATAATATTGTATAATTCGGCCATCAACCATGTATGAAAACATTTTTAAAAGATCTTTCTATTATGTTGTTTATTTTTATTTTATGTGTTGAAGATCTCGTGAGTGATCGTTCTCCAGGGCAGAGGCATTGCTAAATGTTGGATCCTGCTGCTTCCTTGTTTGTCGATTTATCATCTCAGTCTGACCTTGAATCCACCTCAATCCTGTGGATATGAAAAATGTGCCACCACTTAACCCTCAATAAATATGGCAGGTTTGCTCCAAATGATCTGCACTCGCCAAACGGAAGGAATCAAAAGCATGACAAAGGGGCGCGATGAGTTTTGTTGGGCTTTATTTTCATAGATCTCAATCCTTCTGATGCTGTGGGTCAAATCAAACTAAATCAGCATTGATTAATAGAAGGCAAAGCCACAGCAGTTTTAGTAAGCTTTTACAGACCGCTGTGGAGTCAGGCGCACCCAGTTTGATGATTTGACTTTAATGATTTAATCTGTAATGGAGGGCCTGTGGGCTGTGTTCTTGGCAAGCTCTTAGTGGCCATTTACATTATGCGTCATGAGGGCAAGATACAGTTTTATCTGTTTCCTGATATAGAAGTCACATTCTGATATACTCGTGTCTCGAGACTACACAAACTTGCATCAGTATTTCGAGACAATGCAGACTCCTACTGCATGTTTGTAAAAGCATAAAAAACAAAGGGAAGATAATTGAAGAACACATCATCTTTATTCATGTTTGTCATTTCAAGCCATAAAGAGAGCATCTTGTATACCAGTGTTTGGTTATCATGATGTTTAGCATTTCTCCCACTTAATGTCCTGGACGGTTTCCCAGAACACTTCCTGTAGGTTTATTAATAAGTTATCAATAAATATGATCACTCTTATTCACTGCACTCCATGTGCTCAGGTTGACTTTCCTGGTATACCAAATTCAACATACAGGATTTATTCATTTAAAAAAACCTTTATAATTTTAAAAACTACAATCAAAAACTTAATTTCTTTGTCAGCTTTAGTTACAGACAAGAAAATGATTGAAACTGACATAGTTCACCGATTTGTTTTCTAATTGCAAACTCTTTCATTTTATTGCAAATTTCAATCATATCCAAATAAGCAGACAAAATTCTGCGTGTCACACATTAAAATTTGTTTACTGTGTTGTATTTTCACCCCCCACATAGAGGGAGACTAAAACTGGTTGGAACTTTCTTTAAAAATGTGTCTGGTTCTGCTCTCTTGGTCTCATCTCACACAAAAAAAACTAAACTGCAACTCAGTTAAGATTCTTTCCAGTAAATCAATTACAATTTTGTTGTGTACAAAAACAGACATTTTTTTAATTAAATACTTAAAAAAAAAAAAAAAAAAATAGGCAAACAATTTCCATTTGTTCTCATTGTTTTAGTTTCTATTGCATTTGAATGATCATATTATCCACAGCATAAAAAGGCATTAATCTACATTTTTAGTTATAGGTTGTTGTTTTTTTTTTCTTCTCTCTCTATCATTCACGCATGGCATTTAAAAAAAATAAAGTGCTTTTTAAAATAACCTTCTTCTTAACCAACCTAACATACACTGAGACAATACCCGCGATCCTCTTCAAGACAGTGGAATTCGTCACATACATGTGCAAGTACACGTTTGCGCACAAACACTCGATCCCACGCGTGAGCAGGCGACAGTTTCACGCAGAAGTTCACGTCACAGCCAATGCTTAACTCTGTGCTTTATCCTTTAGATGGTTTTAAGTGTACAGTCTGACTGAGGTTATCGTTTAGTATAATTTTGTCATTTTTCTTGCGTTTTTCTTTTTCTTTCTTTAAATTAGCTGTTATCTCCTTTTCGTATGTGTGAGTCTCTTTTGGGCAAGTTTGTTCAACGGCATCCACACTGTTAAGAACAGATAAGAGTCAAGCTGGATCTGCACACAGGCATATGAGCACACACACAAATAAACACACACACACACCAACACACAAACCACACTGTTTCTTCTAACACTGTTTGTGACCCCTGCTTATCTCTTGTCTCAAGTGTGAGCCGTGTATTTCAGCCGTACAGAGAGCACTGCACATCAATAGAAAAGCTCTGTGTGACTCTAGGATCAGCTCTGAAAATCTGTCACACACGTTGCAACTACTAAAAGAAAAAAATAACGAACCAATCATGCTGGATTTTTTTTTTTTTTTTAAGCCAAATAAAGTCCTGAAATCCTTGATTTATGTGCTATACAGAGTGAAACTACAGTGTTGAGTTGTCCTCATGCACCGATTATAACTCGTGAGCAGATCGCTGTTACGTTTAGCGCTTCAGCCGAGACTGATTGAACGTGTGCTGCGGGGAAACTTTCCGCTGTACCGCGGCCAACAATCACATGATGCCTTTTTTTATGTCATGTCTTTACACTGACCACACGTACACACCTGCCCACATCATGAGACAAGGGGGCCACGTCGCAGACAAGAGGGAATTGAGGAATTTCAGGGGCACTGATTTCTACTGCGTGTGCCCCTTTTTCCACAACGTCTGCCCACTTTTTCATCACTCACGCTCCTCGTGTTTGAATTAAAAGTTACACCAGAGCCCAGACAAATTTCTCAACACATAACAACATCACTGATAACCGAGCAGGAAAAAACTGCAAGAAAATCACATTTAGAAGTCTGTTTTCTTTTCAGTTATCTTCATGGGTGATTCCGTGAGACGCCGAAGCTGTTTTCTTCCTTTGTCACCACTCGCAATTCTCATCTCACCTTTGCCAGTCCACTGTGCTCTGTATTTCTGCCACGTCCTTGATCAGCAGCCCAATCTGGCGACAGGAAAATATTACATCACGGCCTGCGATGTGAATCTGACAGCTGACACTCAGGAGAGCGGCGTGGAGCTGCAGCGACGGCTGACAGTTTAACAGTGTCTCCCTTTGTGATCGCAACGTCCGTTAGCAGTTCAGGAAGGCACATAATACTTCGAGAGTGCTCTCCAGCCATTAGATGAGATTTAAGTCCTGCTGTTTTGAGTGACAGGCACTTGAACACCTTTCTGTCCCGTTGCTATGGACACAAGCAACAGAAAAAGAGCATATTAGTCACATGTCATCTTAAATTACACTAAATATAACCAGAAGTGATGCAGCTCATAAACAAGCAGGGAAAGGAAGAGAAAGTGAGGACGGGGAGACTCACCCAATCTGTATTTCTCTTTAGCCTCTGCTCTCTCTTTGGCATCAAAGTACCAGACTGTGATGGCATAGCTGCAAGACACAAAAGATTGATTTGAGACTAAAAGCTAACAGATTTTTCAGTTGAAAAGTGAACTGGAATTGAAAATTACTCTCTCAAGTTCCATAGACTGGCTGTGAATTACAATATACAGGTCCCCAAAATGCCCCTGATAAGAAAAAATATACATTTAAATGTTGCTGCTGTGTAATGAAATCTATGGAGCCCCAAAAGGGACATGGAGAAAGAAAAAAAAAAAAGATTCTTCTGCATCTTTTTGGCAGTATAGAGAAACGACAATGAAGGACGGATGGGTGTCCTCCATTGTCGTTTCTCCATACTGCCAAAAAGACCCAGAAGTATATATACCTATAGTTTCACGAGATCTCGCAAAAGTTATTGCAAGATCCCAAGCAAGTTTTGCGAGATCTTGCAAAAGATATGTTTATTTTTTTTTTGTCCTCTCCCTGTTATTTTTCTTTCTCCATGTCCCTTCCAGGCCTCTGTAGAAATCCCTGTTCATGAGCCCAAGATCAAGACATTTTCAGTAGACTTGTGCCTGAGTAGAGTTTATAATAAATTCTATGTTAGCATTTAAGTTTTACATATCAAAATACATTTATCTGTTGGAATTTCTAAATGGATAGATGTCGTGTTAATCGCCAAAATCCTTTAAAAATCACATCAAAGGCCAAAAAAAAAAAAAAAGATTTCAAAACCGCACAGATGCAGCAGACTGCAACATCTCATCGTACGTATTTTAGGGTAATAAGAGGCTGTCCAGGGTGAGCAAGGCAGCAGAGGGTTAATTTCTACAGTTTCTCATCTCTCCTGTGGGGCTGCGTTGTTTATTCCTGTCTCTCATGTCTGTGCCTCTCCAGCACGAGTCCTGCAATCGAACCTTCCTCCCCCCTCCCTCCCACCGACCTCCTCAGGAAACACATACTTCCTGCCTCCGGCCCCACCTCGCCCCCCAGCAGTCAGATGGAGAGCAGGAGAGCAGATTAGAGGAGAGGAGGTGCGGGAGCAAAAAGGTCGCCAGTCACATGTCGTCAATGGACGCGACTTTTTGATGTGATGATGTAAAATAAAAGTACGGCGGCATCATCGTCTGTCTACGCACAGAGTTGATCTCATGTGAGCATCAAGGAAACTTCTACAGACGTTGTTCCTCTATACAATCATCTTTGATTTGATTTCCATCACTCCTACATGGAGAATTTACAAGAAGTTGTTGAGTTTGAGGGTTGAATAGGAAAGCAGAAGGGGAGGCAAGTGTGTCTGATGAAACTCTTTCATCTTTTTTAAAGCTGCTGGACTTGCTTCTTGTCTTTTTATGGTAAATCTACTTTTGTTTGCTGGACAAACAGCGTTTCCGTTCATAAATTTATTAATTATACCAATGTGGCTTTTTTGTTATTTTTCTGTATATTTATAGCATAGAACAAAGTAAAACATGGTAGACGTACACAACTGGGCACTATCTCTTTCCAGCTTTATATGTGTGTTCGTGCAGTGGACACATACAGGCAGTAACAGAATTACTAACCGAGTGGCGTAGGCTGGTTTCACTTCATGTGGGTTCCTGCGGTCAGACCAGAAGATGAGCAGCCGGTCAAACAGAGGTTCGATGTTGGCTACCACATTTTTGCCTTCCGGGTAGATCTGCAGCAACCCTCCTTGTGTCTACGAAGACATGTGGACAAAAAACACTGAACAACGGCGCCTGTTTTCAACAGACATACTGCAGCTGCACTGTACAATTTATGACATTGTAAAATTTTGCAACGATAGTTAGGTTGTAAATAGATCTTTTTTTTCATTGTTCCACGAAGCATTTTAGCTACTTAACCCTATTCAGGACTTTTGGGGTCTTCTGGACCCCAGGTGACAGGTATTGTTTTTTATTTTTTAAGGTTTTTTTTAATATAAAAAGAGGGACATTTGTGATGCATTTGGAACCAAAAATATGTCAACTTATTAGAAAATTAATTAGTATAAAAGTCTATAAAGAATACCAACAAATATTCACACATATTCTTTCTTGGGGTCCAAAAGACCTTTTACGTGCGGCAACATGGAAGTCCTGAATAGGGTTAAAATAATTAAACTGCCTTTATAATGAAGTTTATCCATCAGCAACCCTGAAAGGCCATGCAGTTCACGTTAAAATAGCAGATGCACATTTAGGTCTACAAACAGTTTTTACATCTAATAAACACAGTTTTTGTTGTGATAATGTAATTTTTAAAAAGTCATGATCTAAATTAAACTGCCACTGATGATAAATGTACCTCGATGTCCCAGTTCTTGTTAAGATAGTAGATACATGTGATGCAGCGTCCGTCGCCGTTGGGATTGTCAACATGGCGGACGTAGCCTGCGCCGTTACCTGGGTAACAAGCAACCATCGCCTAAAACAGAAGAGTGATGTCATTAGTTCACATAAATCACATAATAAAGCATCATCGGAAAAATGTACCTTGTAGATGGCAGTGATTCAAGGTATTCATTCTTTTGATCACATTTTTTTCTGTAACTGTCCTTTTGAAGTCGATCGCATCATGGTTTATTTGTAAAGCAGACACAGCATGCCTGCCTACAGTCCAGCGAGCACAGAGAAGATACAAAAAACCTCCTGTCGTCATCTCTCTGCTTTTTGCTTCCCCAGTGCTCTGCGGTAAACCGTCTTACAGGTATTTGAATAGTTAACCCAACAATCCATAATGCACTTGGTGAGCTGAGCAGTAGAGCAGAGAAATATGTCAGAGTTCAGCTGCTGTTCCCAGCTAAGAAATGATCTGCAGATACAGTATCCATTTTCAAACAATGGTCTCACGCTGGTATTTCCCCTGCTGAGTGTTGGAGGCTGTGAAGCAGGAGAGCGCCGCTTTCTCTGGGGAGTTCGAGGGAACCGCGACCTGCGTAAAACCTCTTCAGTCGATGCACATTCCAGACCGGGGCCACTACGAGACCATGTGACTGTGGATGTACTGTAAGCTAAAAGAAGTCTAATGTCAGTGTGACATATAAGTCCGACCCACAGGAGCGTGATCATGTTTCAGACCGGATTGAATAGTTTCCAAACCGTCTCCTGTGGACGGAACAAGCTCTGTCTTCTCAGCACAGCGAAACACAAAAGTCCTCGGCTGATGCACTGACTGGCTGCCATCAGTTTTTGCTGGCAGACAAAGAGATCGAGGTGGTGATAGCGATGGCAGCATATAGAGTAATAACTTCTCCAATATCTCTCCAGGCTGACAGAAAAGAAGATACTGTCATTGTCTTGACTTATATTATGTGCACGGGACGCAAAAGTTACAACACTGGAGTTGGTGCATTACTTCAACTCTGCTCTGTGATACTATCATTCATGACTAACAGGTTCTGCCCTGCTGCGGTATCGATTTAACTTGCCTGACGCTATCATTTAGGTTCTGGTACTACACCGTGAGAGTCGTAACCCTCAGGAAATCAAAGACTGCTCGCCCTGATTTCGAAGACAAACACGCCTGCCCTCGCGTTGTTTGTAAAACAGCGATAAAAGTGAAATAAAAGTGACAGTACACGTTGTGTAGGAGGGTTTCCCTCTTCATTCACAGCCAAGCGAGGGTGCTTGTGTTGTGTGTGACCCTGCTCAGCTGCCATTGTCAGCTCTCATTACCGGCCGACGCTCGCAGTCAGAGCTCATTAACCTCTGGACCTTCTCCTCCTGGCTCCAACTGCCAAGCAGACTCCCTGCGTCATGAACATACTGGACATGGACAAAGGAAAATAAATATGTGTGTGCGTGTGTGTGTGCGTGATGATCATTAGAATCGTCGTTGCATTTGAAGCCATTAGAGAATGTCAGCTGAGATCAACTGCCGGCACTGAGTCACCTGTTCAGTCAATGGTGGAGCTATTTAGACTGTAGGAGGAAAACTGTGTAGTTTCATTAACTGGGGTAAATATTTGTCATTTTAACTCTGCATTTAGTGTTGTAGCAGCAGTTCAGTAAAAAGTGCAATGAAAGTGTGAGGCCACTGTCGGAAAATAAGTGACAGTGAGGACAATTACACAAACACTTCCTACGCATATGTGGGGCAAATGTCGATCACCTTCTATTTTTAGATTAGACACTTTGCTCTGAATGTTGAGCTTCTTCTTGGTCTCTGCTACACCGGCACTGATGGGCTTAATCAGCATTGTGGGAACTTATCCAGCTTTAAACTTATCAAACTGTCTTAATTTGACACAAGATACTCATTAGGTGTCCTGTTTCTGGCCACTTGGCAAATCTAAGTCCAATATTCAGTTACTTTTGGCTCTGTGTATGTCTGCACCAACTCCTGAGGGAAACATCAGGCGGTTTAGCTGCATGTATGTATGTTGGCTAATTGCCATCTTTGTCAGTTTGCCATTTGGTGATGAGCAGGGAGCATGACGAGCTATGAGGGCGCAGAGAGTGAAGCAAAGCGGTAAATTTGCAGGCGAGCTAAAGCTCTGAGTAAAGGCACTGTTTTCACACTGTCAGTTAATACATTATATTTGTAAAAACATCATTGATTAGATGAGACACTCTGTGGAATCTTTGACCTCTAACATTACTATATGTCAGTGTTTTCCAGTAATAGTTTCCTGTTGCCTTGCCTAAGATACACACTTGTTAATGCAGGCAACATGACAAATAATAGTTTTAACTGACCACCAGAAGGAGGTAGGAACTTAGTAAATATGTGCCAACAAAGGCAAAGAACAAGACTGCCAAAAAGCAAGGATGTGCAGAGTTCTTTGTCTTTGCTTTCAGCATGAGGATTAGTCCCTCAAAGACACAATGCATTCTGATGAGAAACAACCAAAGCAAACATAAATTTGCATGCTCACAAAAGAACTTTTTTTTAAGTTGAAATGACAAAAAACAAACATGCAGGATATCCCGCAGGACTTCTACTTGCTGACTCTGCAACCTCGTTACAAGTTGTGACAGGGAGAAAAAAAAAAAAACAGACAGGAGTTTGCTTTTAGCACAATGTTGTCACTGTCAACTTCACATATTACCCGCTGTTGCTGATCTCTACCAAACCGATAACGGCTGACGCTCTTGCCTTGTGGGGATACATGCCCTTCAGCGCCGACAAGAACCTGTTCTGTTCGTTCGTTCGACGGGGAAATATACACTCTTACAGCTGTCGTGAACATAAAGTTTGACACTGAGGTTATATTTTATTCCGACTAACCCAAACTGAAAATATGAACAGTGAGCATTGAAATAATCCAAATACTTTGCAATATTTATAAGCAGATTTTAGTTTCATGACAGTATTCATTGTTTCTAAATCCTGAATATTGAGAAAACAACTACACACATTTTAATAAATGTTGCCAAATAAGCTTTTTTCCAGAATGATTGTGCTTATTTTGGGTGTGCATGTACACCGTTAACAGTCTCAACAACTGTCATTAACCCCAACTAACATGTAAAATGCCACACCAGCCCTAGCCTGAAGCATAAACACATCACACACACCAACATACACAATGTCTATATGAAAGCTTATACAAAACAGGCGTATCATTTAGGTGGAGGGTTATAGATTTTATTCCAAACCCACCTGAGGCAGTAAAGAGAGATCTGAATTCACCACACGTCAAACTGGTTTCATATACGTTGTTCCAGTCTCCTCCCGTCAGCGAACGCACACAAACAGACACACAACACTCAGTCACAGCCTGACACTGCACGTCTTGATCCTATCTGTCCCTTCTGCCCTCGTCGCGCCTTCATCTCTGCTGAGATCTGCACCCACACTAAGTTAAAGTCTAATTGGCACCGACCACTCGTCTGCCAACCACCAGCATTAATGCCCCTAATGGGAGCCCTCAGTTAGACACCCGGGACGTCCAAGTCGATGGTCGTCGGGCAGGACAAGATGTTCCAGAGGAGAACAAAAATAAACTCCAATGCTACGCGAATATCCCGATAAGAGGAATGATGGCGCGGAGAGGGGTGAGGGGCTAGATAAGGCTGAACAAATACAGGCTTTACTGCTTGTCAGAGAGGGAGAAAAAAAAAATCATATGTATGTGTGTGGGATGGAGTCGGGGTTAAAGGAGGAGAAGAAGAAAGAGGAGGAGAAGTCTGGAAGCAGGAAATGTTCAATGTGGTTTTTGGGATACTTTTGATTACTGTGATTATTCCCGGATTGTTAACCTAGAAATAGATGTTTTAGTTTAAAATGTCTCCAATTTCAATGTGTTCTTTGTGCCGTGTTACATCTCTATCGTCACCACACAGTTACTCATTATCTTTGCAAACGCTGCTATTTTAACGTCACCGTCCTTTACAGAGTTCCTTATATAGTCTTTTCTGCTTGACCCAATAAGTCAAGCGTATGGCTAACTACAGATCATTGATTTGATCCCAGTGTCCACTTTAAACCCTCAACAGTGATCACTAACAGATTCCAATTAAGATCATCTGCATTATCAGTAGAGGGGTGCCTTATGAGGAATAGGACAGCCCTCGATGATGTGTGAGGCCAACGTTGTTAAAATCTCTGAACCCCAAAACCCACCAGCTGTTTTGATAGGTATCTTTAAAAAAATAAAAATAAAATCACCAAAGCTACACCGTTTGTCAGAGTCAGAAACTATAAAAACAGAAAGGATCTGTAGATTTTAGGCTTTCTGATGTATGTTTGACCATTGGTTCTGTCAAAAAAAATAAACCGAATCAAAGCTTAAAATTGTGACATTTCATTAAAATCACTTCATCTTATTTAAATGTTATTTTAAATATATATATATATTTTCTGGTGAAAGCAGATTCTGTACATAACAAAAAATTCTTTGCGTTTTGTTGTAATGCCATAAGAGACTCAAAAAGATTCTGTGAATTTTCAGCTGAACTGAACTGCAGGCAGTGCAAATATGAGACATGTATGCAAACAAGTTCAAAATGAAAGTAGTACAACATTTATGATATGGAGAATCACCACTGGTAACTCCTATAGACACTTGGAAAAATGTTGTACATGTACATAAGATTTGAGTCAGTTCTTAAAACACATTTTTATCGACAAGCTTTTCCTGATTTTACTTAAGTTTTATGTGTTATAGCCTCTTGTTCTTGTGACTGGTTTTATCCAGCAAGCTGGTGTATACAACAAACATGGGCCCTCTTAAATGATCTATTTGTGTGCTTTATTATTGCTATCTTGTTTCTATCTTATTCTATGTGCTTTATTTTATTTCAGTTTTAATTTTATTTTAATTGGAAAGCACTTTGTAACATTTGTTTTGAAAAGTGCTCTGTAAATAAAGTTTATTATTATTATTATATATATAAGATTTATGGCATTGTAAATTTGTCAGACTGCCAAAATAAAGTTTTGAGTTCTACTTCCAGCCATGGTTGTGCTGTTTCCATGGA